CAGCTGGCTGAGCTCCTGCTGGGATGGAGGGATGGTTGGGGCTCACATGTGTGTCCCTCTGCCCACCAAACCTGGGCACCTCTTGCCACCAACCCCTACTGGGGTCCCAGCCTGCCTGTGTCCCACGCCCCGGGTGATGCTCACCGGAGCTGGGGTGGGCACCCGGCCCCCACGGTGGGAGAGGCAGCCACCCAGGCAGAGCCGGTGCTGGATGGCATCCGTGAGCTTGTGCACAACCCTCTCTCGGGCAGCTCTGGGGGTATCCTGTGGTGGACAGAGCCTACATGGATGATGGGCCAAGTGGGTCTGTCCCCAGGGCTGGGGCACCCGTGATGCACAGCAGAGTCTGGCCCTGGAGGTTCCCCAGTGGGTCTTACCTGACAGTGGGAAAGCAAAGTCAGGGCCTCCTGGTAGTGCCCGATGGCTTTCTGGGGGTCTCCCAGGTGAAAGTAGGCTGTGCCCAGCCCCTCACATGCTTGCCACTGCCCCTGCATGTCCCCTGGGAAGCAAAGGGCAGCGTCAGTCCCAGCACGATGCAGTCGAGGTCCTGGGCAGGGAGCATCACCCAGCTTGGGTCCACTCAGCACCTGGATGCTGCAGACCCCCCCGGGGTGGGGGTGGTTGCCTGTGCCTCCCCTCACCTGAGTCCCGGAAGGCTTGCAGGGCATGCAGGTAGTTCTCCACGGCAGCCTCATGGTTCCCGAGCCGGCTGCAGGCGTAGGCCAGATTCCCAAAGCACTGCCCCTGCGCCCTCCGGTTCCCCAGGGCGCCTGGAATTGGGGACAAGGGGCTCCATCCCCAGCCGGCACACCCAGCAAAGCCAAGAGCCGGCGGCAGCGGTGTAACCTACCGTGCAGCGCGGCCGCGCGCCGGTGCCAGCCCAGCGCCGTGCCAAAACCGCGCAGCGCGTTGTGGGCAGCGCCCAGGTTCTGCAGCAGCGCAGCCTCCCGCTGCCGGTCCACCCCGCAGAGCCCGAGGGCCCGCTCGAAGCTCTCAGCAGCCAGGGAGAAGATGTGGAGCTGGGAGTAGCCCAGGCCGATGTCGTTGTAGAGTTTCCCTGGGGGCGCAGAGGAAAAGCGGGTGCGGGAGCTGCCCCCCCACCCCTGGACCCTCGAGAGCAAAGGGTGCAGCACAGCGTTACCTCGCAGGGCCGGGTCGGGGATGGCCTCACAGAGCGAGCGGCACTGGGCGAGGACCCCTGCGATCTCCGCTGCCCGGAACCGCCGGCTCTGCAGCATGGAGCCACTCGCCCTGCTCAGAGCCACCGCCGCCGCCTCGGGGCTCTCCGCCGCCCTGTAGGTCCGCGCCGCATCCAGGAAGCACCGCGCGGCTCGTGCCGGCTCCCGCATCCCCAGGTAGCAGCAGCCCATCTGCACGTGGGTCCCTGCTCGGCCGCCAGCCTGCGACACGCCGTTGTGGCCGCTGGCTTTGCCAAAACAAGCCTTGGGAAAGTCCTGAAGCCCTTCCCGAGCTGCCCCAGCGTTGAAATAAAGGTCCCCCGGGTGCTCCCCGTCCTCCCTCTCCGAGGGCTGGGACTGCAGGAGGAACTGAAGGGCCTTTCTGGGCTTCCCAGTCTCCACGTAGGCAGCCCCCAGGTTGAAGGCACAGGCCCTGCGGAGCTGAGGGCTCACCGTGTCCCTGGAGAGGAGCAGGGCCTTCCTGAAGCACCCCACTGCCTCCTGCCCAGCACCCAGTGCCAGCGCCCGGTGCCCGGCTTGTGTGAGCCCCTCAATTGCAGCCACCCGCCCCACTGCCTCGTCACCTCCCTCCTGGGCATCTCCCCTGGCCTCGGCCTTCTCCTTCTTTTTCTTCTGGCTCTTCTTGCAGCTGGGAGGGTTGGTGGGGGCTGTGGAGGCTGCAGGGGCTGCAGGGGTGGTGGTGGTGGAGGGGAGGACGGGGTTGTCAGGGGTGGTGGGTTGCAATCCCGGGTCAGCAGCCTCCTCTGAAGCCATGGGCAGGGGCAGTGACCTGCCTGCAAGAGAGGCAGAAGCTCTGGCAGCCGAGCTGGCACGATCCTGCCAGGGATTCAAATGAGCAGAGTTAAAAATTTCAGGGGGGAAAAAGGCCTTTCCACGGAGGACCCTGCAAACATTGGTGGCCACCTGAGGTGAGAGAGGTCGCTCTGGGGGAGCAGGGGAGATGCCGCAGCATGGGGTGGAAAGTTCCCGGGGCGCCTTTTTGGGAGGCAGGATAACCATTTGCACGCACTTACTGTTTGCTCTTCAGGCGAGAAGGGTGCTCAGAGCAGGGAGGGGAGGGCCCGGGCATCCCCGCCGGCGCTGCTGCAAGTCACAGCTCTCTGATGGGGGTGGATGGAGGGGGTCCAAGGGGTCTCTCCGCTTGGGCTTCCTGGAAAGCTGCCTCAGCAGGTCACAGCCCCCCAGTGATGGACGCTGGCGCCTGGCGCTGCAGCACAGCCGGGTTCTGAGCGGTAGGAGTGTGGCAGGAGCTGGCACAGGCTGGGACAAAGCTCCCGGGGAAGCACATCCTGCAATGGCCCCGCTGGCTCTGGTTTCACCCCTGTCACCAGCACGGTGTGCAGCGCCATGGCAACTCCGTGCAGCAGCACCGGTGTGGGACCTGTGATGGATGGGCTGCACAACCTGGGTGACAGTTGTGGTTTAAGCCCAGATGGAGATTAGGCACCACACAGCCACTCGCTCAATCCCCCTTTTTTGCCCTCCCAACCTCATGGAATGGGGCAGAGAATCAAAAGTGAAACTTGTAGGTTGAGATGAGAAAGGTTTAATAATTGAAAACAAAGTAAAATACAATAATAATGGTAAGTACTAATAATAATGATTTAAAAAAAGGGAAAGAAAAAGCCCCCAAGTGATGCAGAATACACCTGCTGACTGATGCCAGACTCCCTTCCCAAACCCAGATCAGCCCCTCCCAGATAATTCCCCCAGTTTATATACTGGGCATGATGGTCTATGGTGTGGAATATCCCTTTGGCCAGTTTGGGTCACCTGTCTGGGCTATGCCCCCTCCCAGTTTCTTTTGTGAACCTTCTCACTGGCAGAGCACGAGGCACAAAAAACCCAAAAGGCCCTTGACTTAGGAGAAACACAATTTACCAAAAACCAAAACATCGTCGTTATCAACATTATTCTCATTCTGAATCCAAAACACAGCACCGTGCCAGCTACTGAGAAGAGCATTTCAGCTCCATCCCAGCCAGAACCAGGACCGACGGATCCTACAACCGCACGATGGAGGGCACGGCTTTGTGCTGGGCGGCACCACCGCAGGACGGACAGGACACGGGCATAGCGGATGACACAGCCACGCCAGGCGTGGCACAACCGGCCCCTCACTGTCTCGGCAGCTCATGGCAGGCCTGGGGGTTGGGTTCGTGGCAGGGCAGGTCTGTGCTTTGGCGCAGGTTGACGGACAGCTGCAGAGCAGCGAGGGCACAGCGAACCGCAGGGCTGGCAGCCTGGGCCTGCCACAGCCTTAGCCCCTGGGCACAGCCCGGGCTGGGGTCCCCCAGCAGCCCCTGCTTGGACCTTCACCCACCGGTTCCCGCTGCATCCCGGTTCTTTCCTAACCCCTGAACCCACGGGGTCCTCCCGCCCCCCGGTGTGTGCCACCCCCCGGAACCCACAGGCGACCGCTGCATCCCGGTGTGTGCCACCCCCCCGCACCCACGGGCTCCCCCTCTCCCCTCGGGTGTCCCCACGCACGCTGTTTTGTGCCACTCCCCGCACCCACGGGCGCCCCCGTCCCGGTGCCGGTGCCGGAGCGCGGCCCGGCGGCCCCCGCGCGGGGCCACGTGGGCGGCGGGAGATTCAAACCGCGGGTGGAGCCTCCGCTGCCACCGCGGCCATGGAGGGGACTGGGACCGGGCGCTGTGAGTGACCAACACCGGCAAGGGGGGACTGCCGGGGGCAGGAGAGGCCATGGGGGGCGCGGGGGGACAGGCAGGTCTGGGGGTGCAGGGAGATGGCGGGCGGGTGAATCTGGGGGAGCCGGGGGGTGGACAGGGAGGGCCGGGGGTATGGGGGGATGAAGGGAGCAGGCAGGTCTTGCGTGCAGGGGGATCTTGGGGGACAGGTAACTCTGGGGGTGCAGGGGATCTGGAGGGACAGGTAGGTCTAGAGGTTCAGGGGGATCTGGGAGGACAGGTGGGTCTGGGGGTGCAGGGGATCTGGGAGGACAGGTGGGTCTGGGGGAGCCGGGAGTTGGACAGGGAGGACCGGGGATAGGGGTGGAGGAAGAAGGGAGCAGGCAGGTCTTGGCGTGCAGGGGGATCTGGGGGGACAGGTGGGTCAAGAGGTTTAGGGGGATCTGGGGGAACGAGTAAGTCTGGAGGAGCCGGGGAGTGGACAGGGAGGTCCGGGAGTATGGGGGGGATGAAGGGAGCAGGCAGGTCTTGGCGTGCAGGGGGATCTGGGGGGACAGGTAGGTGTGGGGCTGCAGGGGGATCTCAGGGCGCAGGGAGGTCTGCGGGTGTAAGCAGGTCTGGGGGGAGAAGGGGATGTTGGGTCTGGTAGGTCTGGGGATGCAGAGGGATGGGGGAATAGGCAGGTCTGAGGGTGTGGGTAGAGGAGGGGCAGTAGTGCGTAGGGTCCCAGGCACCTGGGGACAAACAGGAGGACGTGTTTTGAGGAGTGTTTTGGTGGTGGGCAGCCCTCCAGTCGTGGGTTCTTCCAGCACCAGCAGTGCCAAAGGATCCCAAACCTGCAGCTGTGTCCCCCTGAGTGCTGGCTCTGGGCCCCCACTCCCTGGTGCCAGCTCTGGGTGCCAGCTGTGGCCGTTATTTGGGAAAAAAGGAAGTTGGAAACTTCCTCCAACCGCCTGAAGGGCCTGGCTGGTGTCAGCGTCATGCTGGTGCCTCCCCCATGTGGCTCTGGGAGGCTGCTGTGCCAAAAGCCTGCCTCCCTTTCCCAGATTTAGTCTGGGTGGCCATGGGGGCTTCCAAAAGCCCCCCCCCGAGCAGAGGGCTCTGACGGGGCCCCCATCACTGCCCAGGTGAGCGCCTGACTGCGGCCGAGATGGACGAGCAGAGGAGGCAGAACGTTGCCTATCAGTACCTGTGTCACCTGGAGGAAGCCAAGCGGTGGGGCTGCACCTGGGGAGACCCTCGAGCTCAGATTTGTGGGGGAAAAGGGGTGCAGAGGGGAGGGAATGAGGGCAGGGGGGTCTGGGTTGCGGGGGGGTGGCGATAATGCTGCAGAATCCTGCCCAGACCCTGTGGCTTTGTGGCCCTCGAAGATGGTTTTGGGGGTGGTTTTTGGGGGGAGGCTCTCAGCTGAGCACCCAAACTGAGAACCACATGGTGGCAAAGGGCTTGGGGGCCGACATCCCCTGCCAGCACCCTGTGGGGGTTTATGGGGAGGGGGTCTTGGGGGGTCTCCTTTGGGTGACTTTCCTGCCTGGTGGGGTGCTGGGGTCTGTGACGCGCCCCATCTTTGCCCTGCCAGCTGGATGGAGGCCTGCCTGGGTGAGGGGCTGCCTCCCCCCACCGAGCTGGAGGAGACCCTGCGCAATGGGGTCCTCCTGGCCAAGCTGGGCCACTGCTTCGCCCCCACTGTGGTCCCGTTGAAGAAGATCTACGACCGTGAGCAGGCGCGGTACAAGGTAAGGCTGTGACACCAGGGATGTGTTCCTTAGGGTGTGCCTCCAAACCTCCCTGTCACTGGTGAGTGCAGAGCAAGGAGGGCCCAGCCAACAGCACTCACTGGGGGACAATTTCGTAGTGAATGGCTGCGGTGTGGTCCATGAACTGTGCTGCCCTGGGGGTTCACAGGCGTTGCCTCTGACTTCAACTGCTCGCCCTGGCTGGGTGGGTTTGGTGGGGGACCCCGGAGATGGGAGGAGGTGAAGTTCAGCCTGACTCTAGCTCCTCTTTTCCAGGCAGCTGGGCTTCACTTTCGGCACACGGATAACATCAACTACTGGCGTGATGCCATGAGCCATGTGGGGCTTCCCTCGGTAATGTCCCCCCTCTGCTCTCCCTGGCCACGGGACACACTGGCCTCTGCTATGTGGGGAGCACTGGTGTGGCAGGGGGTCTTTATCTCTGCCCCCCACCCTTTGACACCAAGGGACTGTCTTGATGCCATCCCCACCTGAGCTATCTCTTGTTCTTCTGGCAGATCTTCCACCCGGAGACCACCGACATCTATGACAAGAAGAACATGCCCCGGGTGGTCTACTGCATCCATGCACTCAGGTGGGTGGCCTGGCCTGGCTGTCACCGCTCAGGAGCCACTCATGTTTGTGCTCATGAGCCCTTTGGTGGCGTCACCCACCAGCCTCGTCTGCCACAGGAGCTCAGGAGGGAGAAGCAGGTGATGTTACAGTCATAGTCTGTCTTTCAGCTTGTATCTCTTCAAGCTGGGGCTGGCTCCTCAGATCCAGGACCTGTATGGCAAAGTGAACTTCACAGGTATGCTGCTGTGTGGGGAGACCTGGGCTCGGGGCCGGCGAGGAGGGGTTTGCCATTGATGTTTTGGGATCCTGTGGCAGGAGGGATGTGAGGAGTGAAGATTTTGGGCGAGCTTTGCCAAAGCTGCCGCAAGGATGCTCACCCCAGTGTGGGGATTTTCTGATCCCCTCTGGTTTGGGAGGGGAATGGGGGCTCTGCTGGCTGCCCCCGCTCCAGTGCTGTCTCTGTGCTCTACTCCAGAGGAGGAGATCAACAACATGAAGCGGGAGCTGGAGAAGTACGGGCTGCAGCTGCCTGCCTTCAGCAAGATCGGCGGCATTTTGGCCAACGAGCTCTCCGTGGATGAAGCAGCAGGTGATGGGTGCCTGGTGGGGAGCAGGGCTGGGCAATCAGCCCCTGGATACCAGGTCTGGGGCCAGCAGACTCAGGAGGTGGTGCTCTGGGAGGTGACGGTGGTCTAGGATGCAGCGAAGGCAGCTGTTTGCTCTCCTTCAGCCCCACACGTGGCTGCAAGGGATGGCACGGCCCCTTCCCCACTGGGGGTCCTGCATTCCCCGCTCTTGCTGCGAGACTCTGAGACTTGCCGGGTTCTGGAGACTGCAGCTCACTCTTTGGTGGTTCTCACCCCTCCATGTCCCATCTGACCCCCCTGCAGTCCACGCCGCGGTGCTGGCGATCAACGAGGCGGTGGATCGGGGGGTGGTGGCCCAGACGATGGAGACCCTCCGCAACCCCAGCGCGATGCTGCGGGACCTGCGCCAGGGGCTGGCCGGCGCCTACCAGGAGCTGCTGCACCAGGCTAAGCTGGAGAAGGGCAGCAATGCCAGGAACAGGGTGAGGAGGGCATGGGAGGCTCCAGGGGAGCAGCTGGGAGAGGAGCAGCCCCTTTGCTGATGGGCTGGTGAGTGCTTCCAGCTGGAGGGGTCCCTCAGCCACAGACTGTCCAGTGATTGCTGGGTGAAACAGCCTGGGAGCCCTTGTGCCGAGCAGGAGATGGGGGAGATGATTCTTCTTTGGGGGCCTGGTTGATCACCAGGGCTCGGGATTGGGAAACCCAGAGCCCAGGCATCTGCAAGGGACCCTACTGTGTGCTGCGGGGTGAGCTTGGGAGGAAAGCTCAGGGCGAGGAGTCCCTCTCCAGTATCTGCAGGTGATCCCCGAGGGAGAAGATGTCTACGACCGGTGTCTGACCCAGGCTGAAATCCAAGGGAACATCAACAAAGTGAATGGTGAGGGAAGCTGGGGCTTTCCTCTGGGGGGGGGGCTCTAGGGCTTATCCTGGGACCATGAAAACCCAGGGCATGAGGAGAGTGATGGGCACAGCAGGAAGGAGTGATGCAGACCCATCAGGGGTCAGGGCTGGATGTGCATTTCCAAGGAGAAATTAAAATGATAGGTATTCAGGCTTCAGCCATAGCTGCCTTTGCTCCCTGGAGCTGTGGGATGATTTACCTGCTCACTTCTGGGATGAACTGGTCTTGTAGTGCACGGGGCTCTGGAGGAGGTGGACGATGCCCTGCAGAGACAGGATGTGCCAGCACTGCACCAGGCGCTGCAGGACCCCGTCCTGGCCCTGCGCTGCCTCCAGCGCGACAACCTCCAGCTCTACTTGGAGCAGCTCAGCGTGGACCGGGAGCAGAAGGCACTGGTAGGTGCTGGCAGGAGCCTGTGGTGTGGGGTACCTGTGCTGGGGGTGCACCCCTGTGGTCCCGAGGAGGAGGGGGAGTCCCCTGGACGGGGGTTGCTCTGTGGGTTGGCAGATCCCTACAGGGTCTGAGCACAGCTCCTCCATCGGTGTGAGCAGGACGAGGTGTGAGACCCAACACCCATCTCTGCCCACTGCAGGACCTGGGCTACCTGGAGCTGCTGGACCAGGAGGAGGTGCAGGCAGGGATCCTCACGGCCAACAGGAGGGGCGAGGAGGAGCGAGCCAGTGAGTGCCTATGGGGACACGGTGCTGGCGGTGCTGCCCTGTGAATGCCCTGCAGCTGGTGCCCCTGCCAGCAGCCTGGCCAAAGGGACACCAGGCACAGCCCCCTCCTGCAGCCCCCCTGTGCCATCTCCCCTGCTCTCCCTCAGTGCTGCTGGCTGTCAGCCGGATCAACGCCGCCATCCGCCGAGGGATGCCGGCTGAAACCGTGGAAGCACTCAGGGACCCTGCGGCGCAGCTGCCCGATGTGCACCCCTTGGCTGCCCCCCTGTACCAGCACCAGCTGGCCCTGCTGCAGCGCCAGCACCCACAGGTGAGAGACCCCCAGGGACGGGAGATGAGGAGGATTGGTGCTTGCCCTGCGCCTGGGGGTGCTGGGCTGGAGGAGGGGGTTGTGAGGGATCAGTGCCTCCGTCTGCCCCGAGCAGGGTGAGCTGGCGCAGGAGGAGCTGTTCGTGGCTGTGGAGATGCTCTCGGCCGTGGCGCTGGTCAACCAAGCCCTGGATGCCAGGGATCCTGACGGGCTCTGGAGCAGCCTGGTCAGCCCTGCCCTGGGCCTCTCGGGAGTTGAGGATGCAAATGCACAGAGGTGAGGAGACAGGCTCTGTGTTTGGGGTCAGTGTGGAGGAATCCAGTGGGAGGGGACGGTCAGGCGGCCTGTGCTTTTTGTGGGTTTGTTCCAGCAGCCTCCTGCCCTGTGCCTTGCCTTTCCCCTCTGAAGAGCCAGGCAGCTGGCAGGCGCCATCCTGCTCGGAATGCACTGAACCCTGCTTGGAATGCACCAAGCCATTGCCCTGCGTCTCTCCTTCAGGTACTTTGAGGACTTGCAGCAGCTGAAAGGCCAATCTAGGGAAGCGGGAGCTGAATTCCTGAGCTGGAATGACATTCAGGACAGTGTGAACAGCACCAATTCATCGGTGCAGGATGAAAATGACAGTGAGTCCTGCACACATGGAGTTTGGGCGTGCAGGGGGTTCTGCAGACATCCCGGGAGGGAGGTTGCACTGGGACTCCAGCCCCAATGAGACACCAGAGAACCTCTCACCAGCCTGGGCTGTGACTCCCTTGGGTGCCTGGAACACAGTGGTGGGGGTTGAGCAGCACGTCCCTTCCCTCCCACACAGGAGTGCAGGCGGTCCGGCTGGTCAACGAGGCGCTGCTACAGGCGGACCCCGAGAAGACGCTGGCGGCGCTGCTGCTGCTGGAGGCCAACCTGCCCGACATGGCCCTCCCAAGCGCCCAGCGCTACCACCACGTCCTGTCCCGGGCTCGGAGGCAGAAAGCCCAGGTGGGGTGGGGGTCATCAGCAGCGCAGTGCCTCCATGGAAGCATGGCATCCCCCCTGGCTGTGGGGTACCCCACTGACTGCAAGGAATCCCCCTGGCTGTGGGGTACCCCACTGACTGCATGGCATTCCCCCCTGGATGCAGGGTACCCCAACTTGGTAGCATGGCATCCCCCAAGGCTGTGAAGTACCCCCCACCCCAGCAGTGCAGCACCCTGCAAAGCAGAAGGTGCTCAAGATAGGGCTGCCCAGCTTGTTAAGACTCCATTTCCCCCTGTGCCCAACTCTTCCATCCCACAGGCCACAGGGGATGATGGAGCTGTGCTTTGGTGGGAAGAGATCCAGGAAGGGGTCTACCAGGCTAACCAGGACACAGTGGCAGCCAGAAGGAGTGAGTGCTCTGCCCTCACAGGCTCTGTGTGCTGTGCCCCTGTGGGCTGGGGTGCTGCTGTGGGGGTCAGAGGATGACAAGGGGCTGACGTGAGTCCCCCCTGTTCCCTCAGTGGCTCTGGGCATTGCTGCCATCAACCAGGCCATCAAGGAAGGGAAGGCGACACAGACACTGCGGGTGCTGCGCAACCCCGACGTGGCCCTGTGTGGTGTGGTGAGCGCCTGTGCCGGTGCCTACCAGGAGCAACTGGCGGCTCTGATGGCCACCAAGAGACCAGCAGGTAAAACCTTGGGAGCTGCAGAACTGCCCCCCCACCACCCGAGGTGTTCCAGGGGAGCAGCACCACCCAGCAGTTCCTGTGTGTCCCGGCGTGCAGGGAGTGAGAAGCTGTGCTGGGTCCGGCACAGGCTGCCAGACGGTGCTGAGTTCTACCTGAGCCTGAAGACCTTCGAGGGCAGCTGGCAGCGCCCACGCGACGGCGGCCTCAACACCACACACCTGAGCCGGGAGGAGATCCAGGTACAGGCGGGACGGGGCTGGGTGGGCACTGGCGGCGTGGCTGGGGCTGAGCAGGTGCCTCGTGTCCTCACAGTCGGTCATCACCCGAGTGACGGCAGCGCACGACCGGCAGCGCCTGTGGGCGGCCAACACCTCCCTCGTGGTGAGGCTGCAGGCTCGGCTCCGGGGCTTCCTTGTCCGCCGGGAGTTCGCGGCACGGCGGCGCATCCTGCGGGAGCAGCAGCCGGCTGCCGTCAGGATCCAGGTGATGCAGCCAGAACCCGTCCCACCCCTGTGCTCGGGGACACAAACACGGGCAGCTGCTCACAGCGTCCTCTGGCGCGTCCAGCGACCTCTGCCATTTCACTGCTGGGGCCCCCTGAGGCGCTGCAGGGGTTGGTGTGGGGCTTGTTTCTCTCTGGCTGCTGGTTTCTTCTTTTCCTGTGCTGTGTTGTCATCATGCCTTGTGTGCTGCCAGCTGGGAGTCACGGTGACCTCATGCAGGTCTCTCTAGCTGGTGTCTTCTCTTGTGCCCAGGCTTGTTGGAGGGGGTACAAGCAGCGCAGAGCTTACCTGGAGAGGCTGCGCTACCTGCGAGCCAACACAGAGGCTGCAATCAAGGTTGGGAAGACTCTTCCTTCAGCTTTTGCTCCCTCACTGGGCGTTGCCGCCCTCTTGCTCGGCTGCAAGTGTGGCATTGACCCCCTGCCCAGTGCAGATGAGCTGGGGGGGATATGGCAGCTGGGCCAGGGCAGAGTGAGAGGGATAAGGGAGAACATCTTGCAAAAATCATTGCATAGAATTATGGACTCGTTGAGCTTGGAAAAGCTCTTGAAGATCACTGAGTCCAACTGTTCACCCAGCACTGCCAAGGCCACCACTAACCCATGTCCCCATGTGCCACACGTCTGTTAAATTCCTACAGAGATGGTGACTTCACCATTGCCCCGGGCAGCCTGTGCCATGAAGAAATTTTCCCTAGTATCCAATCTGAACCTCTGGAAATCCTCACAGCTTCCCCCCTCTCCACCCACTCGCTTTGGCCAAGTGAGTCCTTGCAGAATCTGATTATTTGAACATCTCTTCCAGATCCAGGCGGGTGTGAGGATGTGGCAGGCTCGGAGGAAGTACCAGGAGAGGCTGCGCTACTTCAGGCAGAACGTGAGTGAGGGGATGGGAGTGAAACAGCTCCTGGGAATGTGTTGGTGGGGATGGAGGGGAATGATCAGGAGCCCATGGCTGGATCTCCTTCCCCTGAGTGCTTGTGGCACAGCTAAAGGGAGAACTGCTGCACCCTGGCCAAGGGGGACAGATGGGAAGGAAAATGTGCCTGGGGGATCTGGAAGCCAAACTATCAGGCTCTGGGAGGAGAGACAGAAAGCACTCTAGTTCCACCAAAAAACAGGGAATTCAAGATGCCCATTAGAGGGGGAGGAAATTTTGGGGGGAAATGGAGGTATTGGCTGCAGGAAGTGAAGCTGCACCTCTGGGGTTGCTGCAGCTTCTGAAAGACAGTGAGCACAGGGGAACAAGTGCTGAAGGGGGTGGGATCCCAAAATCCCTCCCTGGTTGTGGAGACCCTCATCCCAGGCCTTGGCACAGTGCCAGCAGTGGGAGCAGGTAACCAAATGCCTGTCCAGCTCTCCTCCACTCCCCACGTGTGCCAGGGATGCCGTGGGGAAACATCCCCCACCCCCTTGTTTGTCTTGGCAGATTAAAGCTGTAATTAAAATCCAGGCTTTTGTGCGAGCGAACAGGGCCCGTGGGGATTACAGGATGCTGGGTAAGTGTCTGCTCATCGCTGCTCTGAAGTGCGAGGGCTAATTGGGAAGGGGGCTCTGCCTCCTCCCTTGCATGGTGGGGAGGTGGTGGCAGGCTGGCCACCAGTGTCCCTGTGGCAAGGACAGGAGCGGCAGATCCTTGGTGGTTCCTGGGCATCAACCTTGGAGCTGCCCCTCTGCCCCCAAAAGCTTCCTGGAGGCTGTTGTGCAGTGCAGTCATGTCCTGTCCCATGTCCTAGTACTGAAAGATGCTTTTTCCAGGAGGAGGGTGGGGTGTCTGGGCGAGATCCAAGGGTCTGTGGTGGGGGAGGCTGCTCTGCCCTCCACTGGCATTCACGGTGTTGCTGTGCCTTGCCACAGTCCATGCCAGGAGCCCACCGCTGAGCATCGTCCGGCGCTTCATCCACTTGCTGGAGCAGAGCCAGCACGACTTCTGGGAGGAGTCGGAGGTGCTGCGGCTGCAGGAGGAGGTGGTGAAGAGGATCCGCGCCAGTCAGCAGCTGGAGAGCGACCTGGACCTCATGGACATCAAGATTGGGCTGCTGGTCAAGAACAGGATCACGCTGCAGGTGGGGAGCAGGGCAGGAGCGAGGGGAGGATCTCGAACACCTCATGTGGTCCTACCAAAGTACCCGAGCCCGCTGGTCCTGCTCTCCGTGGCATCGCAGCTTGCACTTGTCTCTGCTGCACTTTTCAAGTGGTTGGAGGGGTTGGGAAGGGGTGGAGGAGCACTGGGATGCCTCAGGCTCTTCCCAGAGGCTGGTCTGAATGCTGGAGCCTGTCAGCAGGCAGTCCCCAGCACTTCTCTCCCTGCCCACGTGGCTGCAGGAGGTGGTCTCCCACTGCAAGAAGCTGACCAAGAAGAACAAGGAGCAGCTCTCAGAGATGATGTCCCTAGACAAGCAGAAGGGGCTCAAATCACTCAGCAAGGAGAAGCGGCAGAAGCTGGAGGCCTACCAGCACCTCTTCTACCTGCTGCAGGTGGGGCTGGTGGGGATCTGCTGCATCCCCCACAGCAGGGAGGCAGTGCAGGGACCTGGTCCCCCAACCCTGCACAACGTTTGGGTTAGCTTGGTGTCCCCTTGTGCCCGCAGACACAGCCGGTCTACTTGGCCAGGCTGATCTTCCAGATGCCCCAGAACAAGTCCACCAAATTCATGGAGTCAGTAATCTTCACGCTTTACAACTACGCATCCAACCCACGGGAGGCTTACCTGCTGCTCCAGCTCTTCAAAGTGGCGCTGCAGGAGGAGGTCAGGTGGGTGTCCATGGGGGAGGACAGGTGGGTGTCCATGGGGGAGGACAGGTGGGTGTCCTGCAGGAGGAGGTCAAGTGGGTGTCCATGGTTGTCCTGGCTGGAGGACAGGCCTGGGCAAAGGCTGAACCAAGGGCATCATCTTGGATGCAGTTATCTCCTCTGGCTACTCCCTCCTGCTCGGAGAACACACACACTGGTCCATCCTCTCATCCCATCCACCCTGTCTCTCTCCCCAGGTCCAAGGTAGACCATGTGCACGACATCCTGACCGGGAACGCCACGGTGATCCGGCTGGTGGTCAGCTTCTACCGCAACACGCGCGGGCAGAACGCCCTGCGGCAGATTCTGGGTGGCCCAGTGCGGGAGGTCCTGCAGGACAAGGCCCTCGGCATCCGTACCGACCCCGTGGACATCTACAAGGCGTGGATCAACCAGACTGAGTCGCAGAGCGGGCAGAGGAGGTCAGGCCTGGGCGAGGAGGCTCAGCCCGACCGCGGGGTGAGGAGCGTTGGGATGGTGATGGGGGATCTTCCCTTCACAGCGAGCTCCCGTACGAGGTCAGCCCTGAGCAGGCTCTCAGCCACCCCGAGGTCCAAAGGCGGTTGGATATTTCCATCCGAAACCTCCTGGCAATGACGGACAAGTTTGTCTCTGCCATCACCTCTTCCGTCGACAAGATCCCGTACGTATCCCTGTGGTTTCTGTGCCCACCCCGGGGAGCACTGCTGGCTCAAAGGTGCCTCCAGCAAGGCCTTAGAAAGGAGGTTGGGTGACTGGGGTCCTCTTGGCCCCTTCAGTGCTGCAGGGCTGTTTTACTGCACTGCCATCAAGAGCTGAAACCAAATGTCAGCAGCACCCCATGGGCTGGCTCTTTGTGACACTCTGAGCAATTTAATGCTGGTGTTGAGGAGTTGCCAGGGAGAATCTGAGCTGTGGTCATCTCAGAGGATGAAGGCTTCCTTCAGGGATGCCTGGGCTGGCAGCAGGGTAGAGGAGGGAGCTGAGGGATACTGCAGCTGCTGGCCCCTCCTGTGGGCTCCTGCATTGTCCCCAGGGCTGGGGGTTTCCTGCATCTTGAGTTGTGGGTGGTAGAGCTGGGGCAGGGTGGTCCTGCATGCTGATGGACCTCTCCCTGCCCTCGCCTCAGCTATGGGATGCGCTACATGGCCAAAATCCTGAGGGCATCCTTGACTGAGAAATTCCCCAAGGCCCCGGCAGAGGAAATCGATAAGGTATCTGGGGCTGGGGGGGTCTGTACCCTTTGGTGGGGTTCATCTGTGTCTGCATGTGAAGAGCCAGTATTTCTTCACAGAAAGTCAAGTCCTCTGGACTTAAAAATGCCTCCAAGCCAACATTTTCCATGAGCCACTAGGGAAATGCCAAGGGTGGGCTCTTCTCAAGGGTGCCATCCCCTCCGGGAGGCTCCCACCAGGCAGTGCAAGGATGCAACGCCCCTCCCTGCTGAGCCATCCCTCCTCAGGCCTCAGCCCGCCTGCCCCCCCAACCCCCAGCCTGTCTCATGCCCTAGATTGTGGGCAACCTGCTCTACTACCGCTTCATGAACCCGGCTGTGGTGGCCCCTGACGGCTTTGACGTGGTGGACATCTCGGCCGGGGCGACCCTGCCCCCCGAGCAGCGCCGCAGCCTGGGCTCCATCGCCAAAGTGCTGCAGCACGCGGCCGCCCGCAAGGCCTTCGACAGGGACAACGCCCACCTCTGCGGGGTGAACCAGTACCTGGAGGACACCCACAGCAAGTTCAGGTGGGCACCAGCGCAGCATCGGGGTGAGGAGGCAGCTCTGAGCCGGTGGCAGGGGTTTGGGGTTGACCGGAGGGGTCCTTCTCTGCAGGAGGTTCATCTCTGCCGCCTGCTGCGTCCCTGAACCAGAGGAGAGGTTTAATGTGGACGAGTACTCAGAGATGGTGGCGGTGGCCAAACCAGTCATCTACATCACTGTGGGGGAGCTCATCAACACACACAAGGTAAGGGCATAAAGCTCACAGCAAGCGAGCTCTGTTTCCTCTGCTCCCACCTCCTGGGCTTTCTGCCACATTTCCTCACACTCTTTCCCACCCCCAGCACAACTCCTCTCCTCCTGACCCTTTTTTCTTTTTTAAGCAAGGAAATAACCCAGATTCTGCAGGTTTGTTGCTGCTTGTCCTTCCCCGAACATCATATCGTCTCCATCCCCTTTCGGGTGCAAAGGCTGTAAAGGGGGCCCTCACTCCCTGTTCCTTTGCATCCCCCTTTGCCACTGACTCATCCCTTGCCCCATCCAGCTCCTGCTCGAGCACCAGGACTCCATCGCGCCGCACCATGGAGACCCCCTGCACGAGCTCCTGGAGGATCTTGATGAGATTCCTACAGTCCAGTCCCTGGTTGGTAGGTGAAACTCTGGGACCCACCATCCACACTGTCAGGAAGAGGGTGGACATGGGGACAATTTGCCTTGCACGGAGCTCGAGCTGGATTCCTTCTGCCTGGGAAAGTGGCCCTTTGGAGCCCAGCACAGCTAGCAGGGCTCTCTCTGCCCTCGCAGGGGAAAGTGTTGCCAGCCTGGCAGACAGTGGTGCTGAGCAGGCGCTCTCTCAGCTCAGCAGAACAGAGATCTCCCTTACCCTCACTGGCAAGCTGGTGCCAGCGGCCAGCAGTGATGAGAGTGACACAAGGAGCTTGCTGCTGAGGTGAGGATGGGCTCCATGGGCACTGGGATTGTGCTGGGGGCTGGGATACTCTAGAGGGGCAAAGAAACCCTTGGGAGGCAAGTAAATATTGTGAGCAGAGTGGTGGTCTGGAATGGATACCTGACATCTCACTCTGGTCTCTAGCACCAAGCAGATGCTGGTGGATGTGATCCAGTCCCAGCCAGGAGATTCCCTCCCAGAAATCCTGTGGACACCTGCCTCGGAACACGAGGTGGGTTGAGTGAGGCTGCTGCTGGGCATGAGCTAAAAAAGTGTGCAGGGAAATGGCAAAAAAAGCCCCTCAGCAAAAAGCTGCCCTGCTCCTCTCGGAGCCTTGGCCAGTGCTCCTGTGCTCCAGCAAGAGCTCTGGTTTTTGGAGAAAACACATGCCCTGGGCCAGGAGAGATCTACACCAAACTGTGCGAGAGAGGGGGTTTGGTGGCTCCATCTCCTCACGCCCCACTTCAGCTGCATTCCAGGCTCAGCGCCTTCTCCTCCCCAGGAAGCCGCCCACGACCGCCTCGTGCACCGGCGGGCGCTGCAGGATGCCCAGACCCCCGCCCAGCTGAGGCGGCACCGCTCCCTGGCTGCCAACAGGCAACTCTCCGTGGAGGAGAAGAAGCGCAAGATCATCCGCAACCTGCGGCGCTTGGAGAGCCTGGGGCTGGTGGACTCTGCCCACCAGTACCAGGAGCTCGTCGATGAGCTGGCCAAGGTATGCTGGGGGGGACACCGAGTCGGGGGTCACCTCTAAGCCCCCCTGAGAAAGCTCCAAATGAGGTATATTGGCTTTCCCGCCTGGCTTTGTTCACTCCAGGACATCCGGAACCAGCGGCGTCACCGGCAACACCGCCGCGCGGAGCTGCTGAAGCTGCGGCAGACCCTGCACGGCCTCGATGCCAAGACCTTGTTTTACGAGGAGCAAATCGATTATTACAACCAGTACATCAAGACCTGCCTCGACAACCTGGCAGCCAGCAATAAGTATGGTTTCTCACCAAAAATCAGTGCTTTTTTAAAAGAACCCGTTATTTGTTTTCATTGCTCTCTGGTTGTCGTGACTCCCTGGAGACGTTGGGGGTCCAAAGGGACACAGGTGGCTGGAGATGAGCTTTCAGCACGTGGTTCCTCCTCTTCCAGGGTCAGTGGGAAGAGTAAGAAGCTGCCATCGCTGCACTACACGGCGGCCCGGCTGCAGGAGAAGGGGGTGCTGCTGGAGATCCAGGACCTGCCACCCAGCCAGTACGTAGGCCTGGCTCTGTGGGAGGAGCTGTTGCTTGGGGTTGTCCTGTGCCAGGGCCAGGAGTTGGACTCGATGATCCTTGTGGGTCCCTTCTGACTCTGGATATTCCATGAAAGCTTGGGCAGGTAGAGGAAAATAACCCATGAGGAGAGTGCACATGGGCCAGCATTGTCCTTCTGGGATGGGGCAAGTAATTTTGTGTAGGAGAACACGGGGCAGGTGGGATTTGGAGAGGGGGTTTGGGCTGTGGGTCTGCCTGCTGTGCTGAGAGGTTGTGCTGGGTGTGCTCCTTGGTTGTGTTAAAGCCACGAAGCTCCTTTTGGCAGCGAGTGGCTCTGCCCCCTCAGGTTCAAGAACGTGATTTTCGACATCATCCCCTGCGAGGAATCGGGCAAGTTCCAGGTGAAAGCCAAATTCATGGGGATCGACATGGAGCGCTTCCAGCTGCACTACCAGGTGGGATGCCTGTCCTGGGGCTGCTGGTGCTCAGCAAGGCCAGGGGGTGCAGGGGGCAGGTGGTGTCCCCCCTCCCGCAGTTTTTGGGGGGCTCAGAGCCCACGGGGAGCCCTGCCCGGAGCTGGGGTCAGCCTTGTCGTGAATCTCCCACTGCAAGCCCGGCTCTGAGCTGATCCTCCTTCCCGGGCACGGGGCTGGTGGCAGTGACAGTCACCTCTCCCACAGGACCTGCTGCAGCTGCAGTACGAGGGCGTAGCAGTCATGAAGATGTTTGATAAGGCCAAGGTCAACGTTAACCTGCTCATTTTCCTCCTCAACAAGAAGTTCTTCAAGAAGTAACAGGGTGGGGAGGGGTAGGGCGGGATGGGGGGACCGACAAAAACCTGCCAAAGACACCTTGGGGTCGGTGATCCCGGGGTAGGGAAGTTGCTGCTGGCCATGGATCTTTCCTGCCCTAACACAGAGTGCTTGAGCATCTGCAGCTGGCTCAGCCCCAGCCCTGGGCACCCCGAGCTCGGTACTGAGCTGACCTCCCCACAGGAGGAGGCAGCTGCCAAAGCTTTTGCAGCATGTGTTTCTTTTAAAATCTGTTTTTTATTTGTGGGTATTTCGGCTGTTTAGTTCCTGTGCTGCCAACAGCCAGCTGCTCAAGGACACGATGGATTTTTGGACACTACACAGGTTTTTAGTGATGTAATAAAGGTATTTTTATATATATATATATATATATTTCTTCCTCACAGTAAGGCTGGAGAAATGTCAGAATCAGTCTTTATATGGGGGGAGGTAGGAGAGGGGCAGAACACAGAGGCAATAATTGCTTGTGAAGACACCTGTGGCTGTTCCCTACTAAACTGAGGTGCAATAGGAGAATGTTGGTTTCCAAAGATGAATTTCATTGCTCTCCAGGCAGGCTGGGAACAGGTACACAGGAGGGTGGCTCAGAGCCACTGCTCTCCCATGGATGCCTCAGGGCACCAGAGCAGGGACCTCCCCTTTCTGGACCCCATTGATGCCTGGAATTGGATGTGGAGCAATCCCATGGCACTGTCTCAGCTGGGATGGTGATGTCTCTCTTGAGGGAAGTTTTCAAATGTGGATAATGACTGAGTTTGTCCATGGATGCATTTAAAGCACTTTCTCTCCATGTGAGCCCCTTCCCTGGGATGGGAAGGGAGCTGGTGGCAGTGCCAACCTCCTCCCAGCCCTGTCTCCATCAGACATAGGAGCAGTAAGTCCCAAACCTCCCCCATAAAGGAACATTTTGGGGGGATTGGATTTGGAATCTCCCTCACTGCTCAAGTAACTGCCTGGGGTTAGGGTTAACCTTGAGCTGGCTCGACGGTACCTCATCCATTGCCATCTCGGGCTCTGTCTTGTCTTTGAAAAGTGATGTTTGTTTGTGAGGTTTTTATGTGCTTTTTCTTTCCCTCCTATCACATAAAAGCTGCAAACGGAGCTTACCCTCATCCCTGCCCCTCCTGGATTCCTGCTGTGCTGCCTCTGCTTGTTTACTCTAAATAAAGTTGTGTTAGAAAATGCAGAATTGCTCTGGATCATTGTTACCCCGTGGTCCTCACAAGCCTCTCCCCTGGCTTATCAGGGTCTTTCAGGCTCATGACATTCTCTACAGTCTCCCATGTCCAAAGAAGGTGCTTCTGGCCATGGGCACCAGCCATTCACCACCTTTAGCTGGGGACCAGCTCCCTCACAGGGGTGCTGAGTCAAGCACTAAGGCACCAACTCAGCTCTTGTACGGGGAATTTAGGCCACTTTCAGACCCACTTAATTCTTAAATAAATACTATGATTACCTCTCCTAAAGACTATGATTATGTCTCTACAGGAACAGAGTGGGATCAAGCTGCAGCACTCTTCTAGGTTTAAAACAGGACCTGTTGGCTGCTGGGGGTGCTGCAATATCTGCAGGGAGATGATCTGGAGGAGTTGCTGCTGCATGTTCCCATGACCACGCTGGTTTCTTTTTATTCTAGTCAGGATATTTGTTTATTTTTTTTTACCTTCCTTGCCTTCAGAGGAGAATCCAGCGTTGTCTCCGGCTGTGGCTCGGTGTGGTCTGTTGCCACCAGCCGCCTCCCACAGCAGCTGTTGGATTTGCAGCAGCAGCATTTGGCACCCCAAAACCATTTATTTGGGATGTTTTGGGGATGGAGGAGAACCTGAGGTAAAGACTCCACATGATGATAATAATCCCCAGCTCTTCATTAGGCACAGTTGCAGCACGGCTGGAGGGGACACAGTGTTGCTGTGGAAAAGGTGATTTTTTTTTGGCTCCCAGGAAGCTGTGCCGTGGCCAACCGTGACTCAGAAATGGGGTGTTGGCTCTTGCCTCGTGCCCACACGTTTTGGAGAGGAGGTTGGAGGGGAGAATTCAGCCCTGGGAGCGCCGGGGGAGGCCTGTAGCTGGCTGGCTGAGCTCCTCCCGAGGTGGCTCCACTAGATGTCATTGCAAGCTGGGGATAAACTCGTGGCTGTGGCCAACCGGGCAGCAGCCGCGGGTGTTTGGAGCACCCGACAGCACTGCGGGTACCGGCACCCCCTGCAGGCTCCTGAGGGACCGTGCTGCAAACACACACGGTGTGGCCCCGGCTGGAGGGATGGATCCATCCCAGCACATCCCAACTGCCCCAGGTGACAGGGACTCATCCTCACAGCATGGCCCCTGGCCTCTCCTCTGCCCTGGCAGCTTCCCCCAGGGCACTGGGCTCACTGGGGGCTGTATGGTGACTGCCCAGGCTGGGACTGTGAGGAAAGCCCATCCTGAGAGGTGTTATTTGGCAAAGGGGAGAAAGGAAGAGATTTGGGCTGCCCCTGAAGCTCATATTTCATATCAGAGGATCCTTGAGAGGCACCTTAGAGCTCCTCAGGTTCCAGTGCCTTTGCCATGGGCAGGGACACCTTCCACTAGACCAGGTTGCTCCAACCTGGCCTTGGACACTTCCAGGAATGGGGCAGCCACAGCTTCTCTGGGCAACCTGTGCCAGGGCTTCCCCACCCTCATAGGGAAGAATTTCCTCTCAATATCCCATCTAACCCTGCCCTCTGTTACTGTGAAGCCATTCCCCCTTGTCCTATCACTCTTTAGCTACAGGAAGGTGCTGTTTCACCTTTTACAGCTCCTGCAGGTCCTGTCCAGTGCCTGGCCCATGAGTATTCCCTGCATGGACAGGGAATCATTGTGCTTGCAGTGAGTCCCCTCGCTGACCTCCCCACTCTGCACCCTATACCATGTGTATGTGTACAGATGTGTGTGTGAGAGGCAGAGAAAAATGGCACTGGATATGTGTTACATATTTCACATCTCACCCAGCTGGACTGGGTATAAATCCTGCAGCCTGTGGCCCCGCATGTGTAGGAATTAAGGAGATTGGAGGCAGCTGCCAAGTGTAATCCATGGGGAAATGTGCCACCAAACCCACACTGGGACTGCTGCCCTGGTCTGGGGTGGGAAAGGGGCTGCTGGGCTTTCCCAGGTTTTGGGAGGCAGAGGTGACGTGAGATAGGATGGAGGAGTGTTGGGAAGTTCACGGCTGGGAGCTCGCTGTCCTGGGAGCATCCTCTGCCCACTCCAGCCTGCTCATGGGAACCCACACCCAACAGGGATGAAAAGTTGTTAAAATGGGCTCAGAAAGCTGCTGCCAGGAGCCCTGATCCTGCCAGTTTGGCCTGGTGCAGCAGATGCTGGGAGCTGGTGCTGGGAGCTGGGGCTGGGTGATAGGTGCTGGTTCTGGGTGTTGGGTGCTGGGTGCTGATGCTGGGAGCTGGTGGTGGGTGATGGTGCTGAGTGTTGGGTGCTGGATGATGGTGCTAGGCAGGTCGGCTCGCAGGCAGAGCTCCCGCAGAGCCGCTGTCCCCACTGTCACGTGCTGCAGCGATGCTAATCCCGTTTTGAAAGCCCGCGCCCCGCACTGCCCCCGCTAATCCCCCTCAGTGCCACGGCCGCGGGGCTCGGCGCTGCCTCGGTGAGCCCCGGGGTGTCCCTGCCCCTGGGTCCCCTCCACGGGCGCCCCTGCCTTGTGCCCACATCCTCTGCCCGCTCCCGCTCCTGCTCCAAGCCCCGAGGATGCTCAGGTGCTCCCTGCCCTGTGCGAACGGGTGCTGAGCGCTGAACACCCGCAAAACACACCTTGGATAGAGGTTGGGCCCTACCGGGTCAGGACACCGCAGCGTTCCCTGGAAGCGCCGCGCTGCCCGGGAGGAGGGAGGGATTCACCTGCTTGGCCAACCTGGCTTCGGCACAGCCGCGGTCACTCAGCACGACGACCTTGGCGGCAGCACCGAGGAGGCAGGTGAGCGGCTCGAACCTGCCCGTGTCGGGGCCGGGGCTCCTCCCCGGGAGCAGCCGCCTCACCCGGCAGCGCCGGGGGCTCCGCACCGCGGCTCCCGCTGGGGCGGCTCAGGCTTCGTGCGCCGAGGAGCGATGTTGTTGTTCCCTTCCGATGGCAGCAGCTTCCTCGTGGGAGAGGGGGAAAAAGCACAAACCGAACCGGGGAGAAAATAAGAGGGGAATGTTTGCCGACTGTCTGCTGTGTGTTGTTGCTGTTTGTTGTGTTTCCGCGGTTGCTTTGGCAACCCCGGGAAGATATGCCAGGCTGTAGCATGGCGGGTACCAGCGCGGCGTGGCGAGGAGCCGGGGCTCCACTCCCACAGGGGCCAAGCTGCCGGCCCGCTGGCAGCCCCTGGGGGGCTGGAGAGCTTCAGGCAGGGGACTGATGGGGTCACGTTTGTGCCCAGCTCAGCTGTTGCCCTCCTGAGTGAGCCCGGGGTGGGCACTTGCTTCGCTCCGCATGGACCTTCCGAGAGGCACCTCTGTCTATCCAGGGCTGGAGCCACTCCTATGGGACTGGAGCACCAAACCGTGGCCCAACATGGGCAGGGTCGTGCTGCTTTCTGTCTCCTGTAGCTCTGCCTCCTGCTTTGCCAGGCAGAGAGGGCTGCTGCCTGCGTGGCAGTGGGGGATGGAGCCAGGATCCTGAGGAGCAGCGTGGGACTAGGTGGACCAGGGCAGAGGAGCCTGGCCGAGAAGGGGACGGGGCCAAGAGCAGCTCGGGGAGGACGGGGATACTCCCAGAGCCTCTCTCTCCCTCCCGCAGTGCCGGGAGCTGTGCGAGCTGACATCTGTCAGAGCAGGAGTCGGTGTGCCCCGCGGCATCCCCAGGGCAGAGCAGTCAGGGGGTGGGTGAAGGCTTTGCCCCTGGGAGCCAGGAACATTCTGTGCAGCTCCAGAGATGTGTGTTAACTCTTTGGGGGCTGCAGCAGGAGAACTGAGCTCTTTGGGGATGTGGGCACCGTCTGCCCAGAGCCTGCAGATCCCAGGGC